TGCTGATGATGATGACGGCAATTAGATTTGCTAGCCAGCACTTTCTGAACCCTTTAACAGGTCCCAGACACTGAGCTAAGTGCTACAGATATTACTGCATTTGAGCCTTTCAAAAATGCCATGAGGTAGACATGCTGTCCCCTTCTTAGCCCCCAGCAAACTGAGGCTCAGCATCATGCCACCGTCCCCTTGCTGGCGGGAGGCAAAGCTGGGAGGTGAGTGTCAGCCGTCTGCCTGCAGAGCTGGTCCCCCACCGCTGCAACATAGCGCTGGGCTGGAAAGGCAGCCCTTCTGACAGGGCCCAGGAAAGAGACTGAAACGGTATGACGGTATGACGCAAATCTTAAATTTTAAAGCAACTCCACCTGGGGGCAGAGGTGAGATTCCAGCTAGCATTTGTTACTGCCACAGCTGAGTACCTCTTCCTTACTTCATCCAATCAAAACCTGCGCTTGGCTTTTCCAAAGGAGATGCCATCAGCCAGCCTCTGAGCATTTCTGGGTCATTATCTCTACTTTTATTTCATTGCATTTTGGGGTAAACTTTTACCAAAGTATGATCTACATGTAAAAGCACACCCTATAAGTATCTAAAAAAAAAACAAAACAAAACCCGTTGCCATCAAGTCGATTTCAGCTCATAGCAGCCCTATAGGATAGAGTAGAACTGACCCACAGCGCATCCAAGGAGCAGCTGGTGGATTTGAACCGCCAACCTTTTGGCTAGCAGTCAAGCTCTTTAACCACTGCGCCACCAGGACTCCATAAGTATAGCTCACTGAATTTTTACAAACTGAATACACCCATGTAACTAACAGCCAAACCAAGAAACAGAACACACCAGGGCCCCAGAAACCCTCCCCGCACCTCTCCAGTCAGACACTACCCCTCACTAACACCACAGGTCAACTCTGTGGAAACAACTTATTTTAAAAATTAGATTAAATTAGTTCTCAGATGGGGACTGTGTAATTGACAGAAAATAAAAGGGAGTGATATGGACAGAATAGACTGGTGGCTGAGAGGGCAGGCTCGTATTCACACAGATCTGAACTTGAATCCTGGCTCTACCATTTCCTAGCTGTGTGACTTTGGTAAAATTACTTAACCCCTCTTTTTAAGTCTTAGCTTCCTAAGCAGAAAGAGGGAATATAATGGGCCTTTGTAGGCATAAATGAAATATACGTAAACTGAGTATGGTGCCTGGCACAGAGTAAATTATTCTCTAGAGCAGGGTCAAGAAACCACAGCCCCCAGACCAACTGCCTATATTTGTAAGTAAGTTGTATGCAACACAGCCGCATTCATCATTTACGTCTTGTCTACGGCTACTTCGACAAAGACAAGTACTTGCAACAGAGAGCCTATGGCACACAAAGCTAAAGTATAGACTGTCTGCCGCTTTACAGAAAGAAGTGCGGATCTCCAGCATAAGCTCCATGAGAAGAGGGCCTTGGTCACGTCTGCTGTTGTATCTTCAGGGGCTAGAACACTGTCCGCACATGATAAGCATTCATGCGATAGCTTCTACTTGCATTATGTGCGACAAATAAACACCTATTTCTTTAAGTCATCATTAGTAAATTTTTTTGCATTTTGCAGCTAAACTTATTCCTGATCAATATAGTAAGAAAGAAGCAAAATCAGAAAAATTTAGCCCAAGAAAACTTGAAAGATGTCAGCCCAAGCTGTACCTCGGAAGATCAATAGGTTTATGAATCTTAGCAAAAGAGGTGCACTTGTGGTAATGGAGAAGGTGCTGAACTTAGACTCAGAAGAACATGGTTAGAATCTTAGTTCTGCCGTTAGCTAGCTGCCCCAGATATGAACAATTGTCAGAACCTTAGCACCCATAACTGCAAAGTGAAAAATACTCAGGAGGGTTGTTAGAAATGGTGAGAGAACACTATTCCCTCCCCAGAACACCTGCATGGCCGCCATCTTGCTGCCCAAATCACATATAAGCCCTGCTTCCCCGTAGCTTGGGGAGCCAGCTCTGAGAAACTTCCTCCCGGCTGCTTGCTCTGTGCACTGTAATAAAATTACTTTCTTTCTCAAATTAAAAAAAAAAAAAAAGAAACAAAGGGTAAGAGATAATACAGTCTCAACTGTTTTAAGAATCATTATTTTAACATAAAGTAAGCTTATGAAACAATGTTTCATAGAACTTGCTACACTGTGTTGTAATTATTTGTGTCCTTGTCTCTCTTACTAAGTTCTACACTCCTAATGAATGGTAACCACACCTACTACTTCTATAATGTAGCTAATATTAAATTTCTGTTGGATAGCAAGGGCACAGAAAGCCCTTCAAGATCTGGCTCCCTGCTGACTTTTCCACCTCGACCTCTCACTTCACCATCACCCTCCTCTCTCTTATGTCTAAACCCCATATTTATTTGCAGGTCCCTGAATAGCCCACATACTTCCTGGTCTTTGGACATGATGAGCTGCCCCCTACCCTGGAACATTCTTCTCATTAGGTCAATTTCTACCAGTCTCCTGGAACTCAGTTTAGCAGTGTCTGGAAGGATTTCTCGTACCCACAAATGCTGTTTGCTGCCCCCACTGCCCAACACCCATTGTCCCCTCCAGTGGAGCACTTGCCACACTGCCCTGTACTGACGACTGGCTCAAGCTAGACTCCACACCTGGATTATAAATTCTTTGATGACGCAAAATCACTACTAGATCCCCACTGCAGAGACTGGTAACAATACCAGGTACTCAGTATGTACCACACGAAAGAATCAATCGAAGTACAGCCAATGAACCGACAGCCTAAAAAAGGGACCAGTGAAAGGGAGACTCTGATACAGCCTTAACCAAAGGGACAACTCAGTCAATTGGCATAATATAGTTCACGAAGTTCATGTTCTGCATCCTAGTGAGGGGAGTAGCATCTGCAGTCTTAAAAGCACATGAGCAGCCATCTAAGATACAACTATTGTTCTCCACTCATCAGGAGCAAAAGAGAAAGAAGGAAACCACAATCTCAGAGAAGAAACTAGTCTATAGGGCTAACAGCCTACACAAGCCATGGCCTCATCTACCCTGAGACTAGAAGAACTACATGGTGCCCAGCTACCACTACTCACCATTCTGATCAGGGCCAATAGATGGACCCTGACAGAAAGGGAAAAAAAGGCACAAAAGAACTCAAATTCTTAAAAGGTTCAGACTTACTGGACCAGTTGAGACTAGAAGACTCCCTTGAGACTACCACCCTGAGATACTCTTTAAACCTTGAACTGAAACTATTCCCCGAGGTCACCTTTTAGTGAAATAACAGATTGGCACACAAAATAAAGCATATTATCTGTGAGTACAGTGCTTCATTAAAAAACCATATACATAAGACCAAAAAGTCAACAACTACTCTAAAGTAAAGATGAGAAGATAAGGGGGTAGGGAAACTAGAGTACTGGAAAGAGAACAACCAGAACGCAATTAAAGAGAACGTTGATACATTGTGGAAAATGTAACCAATGTCACTGAACAATTGGTGTAGAAATTGTCAAATGGGAACTAAACTTGCTGTGCAAACTTTCACTGAGAAAACAATAAAATATTATTTAAAAAATGATTTAAAAAAAAACTGTCACCAACCAAAGGGACAAAAATACCAGTATACTTTGGCCTTAAATTGGCAAAACCTTTTTAAAGAATAATTTGATATAGTGAGAAAACGTTAAAATGGTCAGACCTACTGATCGCACAATTGCATGCCTTTGAATCTGAACTCCCAAAACAGCCGTATGTGCAAGCACAAATATACTAACTAGTACGTTCACTGTAGCATCATTTGAATAGCAAAAACTTGGACACAACCTAAGTATCCCATTGTCACAACAGAGGTTGTAAATTATAACCTATCCATTCAGGGGACTGGTATGTAGCTGTGAAAAAGAAAGAAGTAGACCCTATGTACTGAAAATGAAAGATATATTTAGGGGAGGGGAGAAAAAGTCTAACAACAGCAACAACAAAACTCATTGCCATCGAGTCGATTCCAACTCGTAGCAGCCCTATAGGACAGAGAAGAACTGCCCCATAGTGTTTCCAAGGAGCTGGCTGGTGGATTCAAACTGCCGACCTTTTGGTTAGCAGTCCAAGCTCTTAACCACTGCGCCACCAGGGCGTCAGAAGAAAAGTACAGGACACTGTATATTCTTTCCTCCCGTGTATTTTAAAAATGTTTGTGTATACACACACACACACACACACACACACACACACACACACACACACACACACACACAGATTATTACTTGAAGGGTGCAAAAGGAACTGGTAATGATGCTTACTGGAGGGAGGAGTGGGGGGCTAGGGGGAAGGAGAGAGTCTTCGTTGTCTATCTTCCTTAAACTTGTTAATCGTATGCCTGCACTACTTTCATTATAAAAAATACTAATGAGGACTTTCTGGGTGTTTTTTCCTCTCTATATTTCAGTATAGCTTAAGAAAGGTAGCAGTTATCGTCTTCTCCCAAACTGAACAGACAGGGAAATGTTGTTGTTGTTGCTAGGTGCTGTCACGTCCAACTCGACTCCCGGCCACCCCGTGTACAACAGAACGAAACACGGTCCAGTCCTGCACCGCCCTCACAGTCGTTGCTATGTCTGAACCCACTGTTGCAGCCACTGTGTCAGTCCATCTCTTGAGGGTCTTCCTCTCTTTCCCTGACCTCTACTTTACCAAGCATGACGTCCTTCTCCAGGGACTGGTCCCTCCTGATAACATGTCCAAAGTACGCGAGACGTAGTCTCGCCATCCTTGCTTCTAAGCAGAATTCTCGCTGTACTTCTTCCAAGACAGATTTGTTTGTTCTTCCGGCAGTCCATGGTATATTCAATACTCCTCGCCAACACCACAATTCAAAGGTACAAATTCCTCTTCGGTCTTCCTTATCCATTGTCCAGCTTTCACATGCATATGAGGCGACTGAAAACACCATAGCTTGGGACAGTAAGATAGCAACATTAATTTGATATTACTTACTGTGATCTTTTTGTGGTCAGGAAACTCAAGGCCGAAATAGTCACCTTCCACGAGGTTGAGGTGATTGCAAACGGCATCCAGCAGCACTTTCCCAGGAGCCCTTTGCTGTGAACAGAAATGACAGGGAGTTACGTCCTCGGAGACAGGCATCAACAAAAACACAGCATGGCTCTTCACTGCCAGGAGGAACCCTTCGAATCCTTCACAGCTCATCCTTCCCATGCCACGTCCCACCACTCACTCCATGCCGGTCCGGACATCACCCCTCTGCACCTCTGTGCCTTGCTCAGGCCATTCCCGGCACTAGGAATGCTTACCCTGCCATTTTCTCTCCACCTCAACCCCTGGCCCTTTTTGTGACAGCTGAGATCCTGTCCCTGGGCCTTTCCTTTCTTCTCCTGCACAAATATGGAGAAGTTACTGCTCCTTCTCTAGGTTCCTTAGCTCTCTGTGCAGACTCTCATCCAGGCAGTACATACATGGAGGGTAAAGGCCATATTTTATTCATCTTTGTTTCTACAATATCATGAGACCAATCAATTATGTTGAAATGAATACAAGTTACTGATCCCACTGTATTATAGTTAAGTATCTAGGAGTCTGTCTCCACAATTAAATCTGGGGCTACGTATTCATCTTTGTTTTCCCTTGCCTAGCAAAGTACCTAGCGCTGTATCAATATCTGCTCAAATCAATACAATACACGCATTTTCTATATGCTGAATCCATAGGAAGGGGAGTATGATGTACAAGAACCAATCATATGCCTTAGTTTCTCTTACTACCCAGTGGACTCCTAATGATCCACTGGTAAAATGGATCAAAGTCCACCATGTAGATCAAATACTAAAAGAAAAACGTTTCCAAGACATTGCCATCTACAGTTACTGGTTTTATAGTTTCAACTCCCGTCTGATAATAGAAGCCAGTTAGTAACCCAGGAGAACAACTGGCAGTAAAAGTCACAGCCTGAGGAATGCATGATTGCACGTCTGTCACCCTGCCTCAGCATGGCCTGAGGACCCGTCCAAATGCTTCAGTGTCCAACAATAAAGCCCGTTTTTCTCCAGATGCCGTGACATGTTCCCATGTTCCCCACCCGACATCCAGAAGACACACAGAGGTATCTGAAGGTGTGGAATATTCCCATGGATACTCCCCAACTCACCAGGCTCTAGGCCTTGCATGTCTGGTTCAAGAGTCACTGGTGGAGTCATCGCATGAGTACTGATGGCTAGAGTAGCATATGATCACAATGTAACCCCCCCACGCCCTGTTCTTCCTTCTCAAACACAGCTCCCACTCCCCCCACACAGAGACGCGCGCGCGCGCACACACACACACACGCTTCTCCAGTAGAGTGGATTTAAGGGGCTCACGTGGATCTGGTCACTGATAGTTTTTACACTACTTTGGTACAGCAGTCTGCCTTATTTCCGTTATTCTGTATACACTGGGGAATTTACCTAGTTACGCCAACGCAGGGGACAACCAGCTGCTCCATTTCAATCCCTGGTCCTGGGTTTAAGCTCTCCACCAGGCTCCAGAGAGCTATGTGTTTAACTATTGCACAGCCACTTGTCCAAGGTCCTCCTCTCACTCCGGAGGCCGTGGTGGTTCAGTGGTAGAGTTCTCGCCTTCTAGGTGGGAGACCGGAGTTCCATTCCTGGCCAATGCACCTCATGCAGAGCCACCACCCATTGATAGTGGAGGGCAGGGTGTTCCTATGTTGAACAAGCTCCAGTGGAGCTTCCAGACTAAGAAGGGCTAGGATGAAAAGCCTGCCAATCTACTTTCGAACACCAGCCAATGAATATCCTACGGGTCCCAGTGTTTCGTCCACTGTGCATGGGGTCGCCATGAGTCAGGAACCAACTCAAAGGCAGCTAACAACAACGTCTCATCCAGTGAAATCAGCTGACATTAACTACGACGTTATACAAGTGGCTCAGGCGGGTAAGAAGATGTGGAAGGACCCCCGTAAGTTTTTTTTTTTTTTTTAAAGGGAAGACCACACTGCAGTTTCACAATCTTTCTTTCTCACACTTCTCAACACCACTTTCTATTTGTTACAAAAATGAACCACCAATTATCTGAACAGCTGGCAAGCACTCACATTTCCCAAGGAATTCCTGGAACTAAGTGAATTTGATAACTTCATCTAGATTTACAGAGTCTGGGAAATGAGACTTAACAATTTAAAGCTGAAAGTCTAAACAACCAAAAAAAATCAATATACAATGGAGGTCTTTGTGGGCACGGTGTCTGACGAAGCACTTTGTGGAATACGCAGAAGAGAGGTGGAGGAACGTGTGAACTGCGTCCTTTACCGAGTCAGCAGGGACTTTTAGGAACGTACTGAGCACATCTTAGTAATAACAAGAGGCTTCGTGGAGACCCAGAGGCCATAGTATCATCTCAGCGTTCCAAACACCACTGCTGTTCTGGGGAGACGAGCACAGCAAATGACTAATGCCTTGCGGAAACACGGGTTTGCAACAGATGCTTGGAATCGAGCTCGTAAATGATACAAATTTGGTTTCAATTCTTTAAAGATATCCTTAAAATGTATTATTTTACATAAATCCTTTATACAAAATGGCTTTTCTCTGATAGTGAAATTTTATATAAGGAGAAGTCAACTTAGAGTTTGAATGATATCTTTACAGCTCCTGAAAATCATCTGCAAAGTAGATGCCTGTAAAGCATGATATTACTTCCCTGAGAATGCTGGCTGGCTACATCCAGGGTTAGAAGGAAAGCTGTAGCAACACTGGAAAGTATTCATAAAGGTTTAAATGCCCCCGCTGCACGACAATTTCACAGCTCAGCGTGCTGTTATTGCTCCATGGACTTGGCATTAACATCGCAACGTGCACAGATGTATGCAGACATCATGATATCAGAAGATCGTGGGTCCGCTCTCCCTTTCTTTGAGGAGTTGGTGTAGCAGTGTCTAGCTCCCTCAGTGCACCCAGGGCCAAACTCTGCTGTAGAGAAAGTGTCTCCCAGGAGAGAAGCAGGGAAAGTTTCCATCAGATCTGATGCAGCTAATGCATTCAGACTGGGATTTTTGGTTCTCCTCATTCTGTAAGAAACATTACCCTTGCTTTTCTCTCTACAATACATCTACTCCATCAGATGCAATGTCATTTCTCTGCGCCCGTCTCCAATGAGTTTTTTGAGTTTCACCCTAAAATTAATTCTTTTCAAGATCACAGAATTCAAGTCAATTTGCATTCATTTATATTCTGAAAGGTCCAAAGGATAGGAGTTTAAATGCAAAATAAATTTGGTATTTGAAGGCTCTTTAGTTCTTCCAGTTGCAAGAGATGAAGGGATTTTAAAGGCAGAAAAATCTGCTCACTCAAAACTTGTTGGATGAGGGTTCTCCTGCTGTAGAAGAGAATAGCTAGGAGAAGTGAATCAATGGACGAGGTGTGGAGGCTGAGGGAGCATTCTTTTTTTTTTTTTT